ATGGCAAAGTATTACAAATTAATTAATAATTAATAAACTTTAACGAGCGTAGTTTATAGGCAAATACGTATTGCCTATTTAAAGTACCAGCTCTTTACATGTATTTTACTTTCAAACATTTACTTTATCACAAATATTTATTCTCAAATACAGATTTGTATTTACTCTCAAATATTTAATTTTGGTTAAACACAAAACCTACCAGTTTTTCTTCCGTAGAAATATTAATATAACACTTTTTCAATTTTAGTTATAAACATTTATGTATTTAACATAAATTAAATGATTCAGGATAAAATATCCATAAAGAGCCAATACTTTACTCATGTAATGGATGAAAATCATAAAAAATTAATAGTTTATAAGGCCATTTATTTTTTAAAAAATATTTAATTTATATTAAATAGATAACCTACTGATTTTTTTTTGCAAGAATATTACTTTAACACTTTTTAATTTTTAATTACAATGTTAATATATTTATCATAAATTAAATATTTGAAAACAAAATATCTGTAAAGAGCCGATACTTTAAATAGGATATACGTATTTGCCTATAAACTACACTATTTAAAGTAAGGAGTGTAGTTTATTGATTTAAGTAAGGAGTGTAGTTTATAGGCAAACACTCATAAGTTATTTAAAATACCGGCTCTTTACAGGTATTTTATTTTTAAATATTTAATTTATAATAAATATATCAATATTTGTAATTAAAAATTAAAAGGTGTTACAATAATATTCTTGTAAAAAGAAAATCGATAGGTTATCTATTTAATATAAATTAAAATTAAAAAAAAAGAAATGGCCTATAAAATGTTAATTTTTTATGGCTTTCATCTATTACATGAGTAAAGTATTAGCTCTTTATGAGTATTTTATTCTGAATCATTTAATTTATGTTAAATACATAAATATTTGTAATTGAAATTGAAAAAATATTATATTAATATTTCTACGGAAGAAAAACTGGTAGGTTTTGTATTTAACAAAAATTAAATATTTGAGAGTAAATACAAATCTGTATTTGAGAATAAATATTTGTGATAAAGTAAATATTTGAGAATAAAATTCATGTAAAGAGTTGGTACTTTAAATAGGCAATACGTATTTGCCTATAAACTACGCTCGTTAAAGTTTATTAATTGTTAATTAATTTGTAATACTTTGCCATTCATTGGACATGTGGCACAAAGGACAAATCAGGTACAAAATTCTAATTTCACTCTCTAAAATAATATTTTAATCATTTGGACTGAATTTGTAAAGGATTAGTAACCTCAGGGGAGGTCAGTGTAATTGTTCAAACCACAGGGGAGGTAAGTGTAAATGTCAGAAACCTCAGGGGAGGTTTCTGAAATTATCCCTAAAATTTTATACAAATTTTTTTGTATGTGACAGAAAAAATTTTATACAAAATTGATTCATTTTAATTGCTCCCTAATTGCACGCATATTGGGTTTACCCTTCAAACTAGTTATTATAATTAAAGCGTTTTCAACCCTTGATAGCCTTCAAATAGAATAAAATTTTAATTTTTATCAGTTAACTAGTTAAGCCCTCCACGTTCTAGAGTTGTTGGGAAAGTGGGAATTGAAGTCAAAATGATCGTATGGGCCCATATGTGTCAGCTAAAGTATGGGCATTTCTGTCCCAAAAATATCTTTTGTTTGAAATTTTAAGCCCTCTGTAGAATTGGTCATACAGGTATTACCCAAATGAAAATGATGGAAAACGAGAATTTCTCAAAGGAACGGAAGGCACCAGAGCCCATGTTGCCTTCACACTGTAAAAGGATACATTATCAAATAGTTAAAATAAATAAATGCGAAATCATAGATAATGTTACATCTACTATGGAAAAGAAAATCCCTTAATTTGTGTCAATTTATTTACAAGGTTCGTGAGCCAAAAGTGGATTCCAAATCTAAAGTCATGCTTGAATCTGGAATTCAAGTGCAAAATGTAATTGCAAAATAAGAATTTATTACCTGATGTGAGTAATTTAGGCCCCGTTTGGATTGCATTTTTCGTCATTTTTCATGGAAAAATTACCGGAGCGATTTGATGTATGTGAGGGAAAAAGGTAATAAGGAAATGTGATCACGGAAAACGATGCAATTTTCTGGTAGAAAATGGCAATCCTTAATTTTCTCAAGAGTTTAAAATAAATGTGGCACCTTAAAGCTACAGTTAGTGCATCAAACTTACCTAAATGTCCATGCTTTGCAGTTTTTTTGTTTTTTGTTTTTTATTTTGTCCATGGTTTATTTGACCCAATACTCAATAAGATTATAATAGAAGATAATAACAAGAAATAGAAATGTTCTTGTACAGAAAATGCAACATGATTTTTTTGGGCAAATGATATCAGTACTCAAAAAAATTCCTATAAAATATCTTGGGAGATAAAATTGCCCTACTTTATCTTTTGAATTCACTTAATTTTCCCTACTCTTAAATTAAACTTATACTGTTTTACAACAACAAATGATGGAGAGTTCCTAATACCGATGATCAATTGTTTAGTAGTTCTTGAGTAAAGTACTAGACTTTGTGTTTTGGAATTATTTGTTATTTTGGTCTGTTCATTATTTTTTTGGTGGAGTTTTATAACATCATGTTGGAGGTTTATTTTTTGGAAAAAAAAAATAAAGACTTTGTAGTCAATAGTATAGAGATCTCTATAAAAATAAGGTGAAATAGTTATTAAGCTAGCCTTGAAAATAACTTTGACATTTAAATTATTAGAGATTCTAGAGTATGGGTGTTTATATCATTTTCAACAATAATGAGAAAGGGAGGAGTGTCTGGATTTTAATTTTTTTTTTGGAGTGTCAATATCATTTCCCTTTTCTTGACATGCTAAACAAATACTAACAAAAAAATATTTTTCCATAAAATTAATCTAGAGAATATGGTATCAAGTTATTCCTAAAAAGGAAATTCATTTTTATTTGTGAAAAAAAAACTTTAGAAATTTAAGAAAAATAGATTGATTTATTCAAAATCTAAAGGGAGGGTGAGGAATAAGATCTGTATTCATCTTGAAAAAAAACCTTCTACAATTGTATGGATGGATTAAATTAGATGTAAGTTTGTTCTAATTAATGTTGTTGAGTTACAATTGTATGGATGGATCCACCAATATTGGTAAATTAATTGTATCCACACCAATTTTTTTTTTTTTTTTTTAAATTAAGTTGTATGGATAGGCCGAATTAGCCTTCTACAATCTACTGCATGTGTTCTACAATATATTTGCGTTTCCATTTTTGTTAATCTCACTCCTAGTATTATTTTAGGGATAATTTCAGAAACCTCCCTTGAGATTTCTGACTATTTCACTAGCCTTCCTTAAAGTTTATAAAATTATACAAACCTCCCCCAAGGTTAAGGTTTTGATAACAAAATTAGTTCAGTTAAAAAAAGTAATATTAAAAAAGTACTTAAAAAAGAGAAATGAAACTTTTATTTTATAAATACCTCTTGTGCATGTATATAAGTGTATTAGTAAAAGAATAATAATAATTAAAAGTTATAAATAATTAATACACACATTTCACCACTCAAAAAATTTACATTTAATAAATTAGACCACAAATAAATAACAAAACTACACTAACGATCACAAGATTCAACAATACAAACTAGACATTTCTTTTAATATAATGTTTGCTATGATTCTTGTGATTTTGAGCAAAGAAATTTTTGAATTTTGTATTTCTTTTTCCTCCTTTCTTTAATTATATATTTTTTATTTATTAGGTCATATAATGAAATAAATAATAGTAGTGCAAATAACAAAAAATGGGGCGCGAATAACATTTCTTAATTCCGTACTTCATTTCCAACATTGGGATTGGGGTCAACTTCAGTTGACCTTTGGAATTTAACGTTAGCACATCGGCAAGAACTGCAACCGGATTTCGCGGACTTTCAGCGACATGACTGGTTTTAGAATGCCATTAATGGCAAATCAGAAAATCAGATCACTACTCCTCCTGCTCTTCTTCCCATAGCACCCCACCACCAACCCTTCCCCCCCCAACACCCCTGCCCTTTTCTGCTGCGGTGCTTACCTCCTCCTCCTTCATCCCTATCCTCCTCCATCATCTCCACCATTTCTAGCCCCACCACTTCCTCCCAACTGGGGCCCAACTATCAACACCTCCTCAAACTGTCACCGAACAAATCATCAACGAACAAGAATTTCATTCACCTCTCATCTATTATGCTATGACTAAAAGGTAACTTTTTCTCTCCACCCCTTTAAATCTTATAGCATAAATGATCCATGCATCTGTTTGCATGTGCTTTCTTTGGCTTTTTGTTTCATGGAAATGTGTATAATGGGTGCATTACATAATACTCATGCATGCTTTGCCTTTTCTCTTTTGAAAAACTTTTCTTGTTTGTCTCCAATAAAGTTAATGCAACAAAAAGGGTACCCTTTAATTGCGCTGTCAATCTTCCCTTAACATGTGAAATCCTAACATTTCACCTTTTTCCCTTTTCGGCTCCAAACAAGAATTGGTTCTGGAGAATCTGAACGCGTCTAGGGATATTTTAATAGAATTTTTTAGTGCAGTAAGCCAATCAATTGGAAAAAGAAGTCAAAGCAGAAATTTCAAAGTTTCTTATTGATGAGTTTGTTGCACAATCTGTTGTGGTGAGTGGCTAACATGAATACTTAGCATAGGGGAGCTAAGGAGCAAGAGAGAGATTTTAGTAATGATGTGAGGTTGAATTATAGGAGCATGCGTGGGTCGGTACAATAATTATGATGATCTTTTCATCATTATTTTAGATAACCTTTTCTTGTTGGTTATAAAGGGTGGTGGAATTTGATTCACCAACTTTTGTCTCTGATGAGATTAAGGCGTAGGCATTACATACCTTCTTGTGCATCTCACCGTAGAGTAAGCTTCGGCTTCTACTCCGTCATTGATTTATATTTTTCTTGGAGAATGAGATCACAAATTACTTTGTTAGTGAATTGAAGCTGTGTTAATGATTAGAAGCTTGTTCATTTAGTTGCACATGAGTCATTCTGCTTCAATTTATTGTTCTTCTTGCCTGATATCTCTATCTTGTTTTTGTCAGTTCAGCTGATCGTTATTTGTGGACTAGTTTTGATGCTCTAGTGTAAACTTTTCTTTTATTGCTTATATAAGCAAGCCTCTCTGTATATAAACGGATCCCTTTTCCATGCGTTTATTATAATTCTCATATTTAATTCATAATTTTGCTAAAGATGTTAGCTCTTAAAGTACCAATCTCATTTGATGGAAGCTTATTTTGGCATGAAAATCCGTGCAGATAATGCTTTTTATGTGTTTTGCTTGGCATAATTGACTATTTATCTGATCATGCCAATGCATACGCCTAGAAAAGTCAGAACTAATACATTTTGGGTGCGCAAATCTTCATTAACTTCATTAGTTTGAGGCCAATTAGCTTTTTTAGGTTCAAATTTCTCTCATTTTTGTACTTTTGAATGGGGGTAGGTAGGGATTTATAAGCTATTACAATCATGAGAGTATTCATCCTGTTTATTGTATTGAAATAAGCATTTATTCATGGTCATACCATCCACTTTGTACTTAAACAGGCTTATGAATCCAGGTTGACGAAGATGAAATTTATTGGGATGCAAAGAAGCAGGATGAAGAATCAGCATTGTCACCTAATTCTCCTCGTGCAATATCACAATTAGCTCAGTGCTTCAGTGAGTATAAGTTTTTCACTCAATTAAGTGTTGCCCCTGAATAGTTTCTATAAAGGATCCCTATCTTTCCTTTGTTTCTATGTCTCTTCATATCAAAGTTCTGCTCCACATCCTCCTATTTGTCTCCGTCCTTTCATGAGCCTTTGCCTTCCTTATATCTTTTTTCTCTCCCTCTACTGTCTTCACTGCTTCAAAATCACTGGAGGATACCCTTTTATGGCTTTCCCTCTATATTTTGCTTAGTTTGTACTGTCATTGCAGTCTTTGAGTAGCTGATAAAAATAGGAAGCTTTCATTTAAGACATTTAAAACGTCAGATCCAGAAATTTGGCCTGCACCTTTTCCTCAGAGATACCAACTCATCTAGGAAAAAGAATTTATAAGAAACAAATCTTTGATTCATATACCAGGTCCTGGAGATCAGAAGCTTCCCGCATTCTGATGAAGAAATGTTTTGGCTAGAAGCCTAGAAATATTAGCTTGAAGAGGGTGAATAATGTATCATCTTTGGAGGACAACATTTACTTTCTTGAGTCAAGGAAAGCCAGAAGGTTGAGATTCCCCTCTTACAATCCATATCAGCTAGCAAAGGTCATATGAGATCATAATCAATAACATAGACAACCATTCACTTTTGAAAAATAGGAAGTTACAGCTTCAGAAATCTATGTATATTTGCTTCCTGGTTCTTGCAAGTTCTAACAGTATTTGTCGGTCTTGTTGGTTACCTCAAGCTGATTTTGGAACTTTGTGCATTGTACTAGTCAAATCTGAGTCCAAAAATTAGATACTGCTACCTTAAAGGGCGTTGGGTCAAGACAATGCAAAAATCTTCATTGAGCGTGAGATTAGATGGTTGATGTTCAAAATTGGTTCCAGATGTGAATTTAGCTCCCAGGCAGTGTTTAGGATAGAGTGTCTGCTTCAAAAACAACATCTACGACTTGAGAGAGCCCACTGCATTTGTGAGGCAACCTTATGACATAGTTCTATCTGTAAAAACATGTTTTCCTAAGCACATATAGAAACACTCCAAGAATGCAATCTCCCAATCTCACCAGAATCATAACATAATGAAAATTTCAATACTTGCTCATAACAAGATATTCATCAGATGTTATGTGGAATTCTTATTTATCATTTTCTGTTCCTAAACAAAGTCCTGCCTGATATAATTGGAAACAATTGCTGTTTGGAATTGTGGATTCTATTCATCTCTGATGTGAAAGGAATGATTGGCGAATACAGTAGTTCATTTTTCATCTGAATTTTGCAACATCCAAATGAACGCTATTGCAGAATTTGTGCTTCCATGTCAATTGGAAATACCCTCTACTAAAAGATGTTGACAAGAGATGGTATGGATTGGTGGCTTTAAGTTTTTGGTTAGATGACTCAGACAGTGCATATATCTCTTCAAAATAAAGTCCCCATGGGAAAAGCTAAACTGTTTGTCTACCTAGGTTCCTAACCTCCCGGGCAAACTACTGTCAGCACCACCATATCAAAACTCAGTTCTGATTTCTGAAATTGGTTCAAGGCATGTTCCAAGTTTTGTGCAAAAGAGGAATTCTCATGCAGTTCACATGCTGTGTCTTCTTGCAGCCGGAGCTTACAGAAAACAGTACAATATAATTTCAACATTGTGTAGTAATGACATGCGTCAATTGATACGTGAATGTCCTTCAATTAGTTTTGGACGTGAACTTCTACTTATAGCCCTTATATCTTCTTCTGCACAAATTTCCTGAATTTTAGATTAGATTAATTTTAGTCATATATTGACTCCAGGTTTCGATCTTTACAGCTAATGCTATGGTTGGTCCACGAGCATGGATAGGAGGAATTTTTAGTCGATCAACCAATAGAAGGTTTGGAAGTGGCAGATTTTTTTATTATAATTTTAGTCCTCATCAGGTGAGTTCCTAATTGAAAAACCAAAACTTTTACCAGTCTTTTAGGGCAAATCTGATTCATCAGCCTCTTTTTCCTGTTCACATGTTTCCCTCTTTTGGTATCTTTATTTGTTTTATTTGTTTATAAACGTTTTTACGTGTAAATATGTTTCCTAAAACCTTTTCTGCTTACTGTTTTGAGGGATTTAAAAGTCTTACTTGTGAGATTCATGTTGCTTTAAGGGCACAAATTTGTCATATGATTAAGAAATAAACAAGAGAAAGTTGAACACTGACAAAGGAGAAATTTTGTGCCTTAAAAATAACATCTTCATTTCAAACTGTCTACAGGAAGAGAGTCTTCGAAACCTTCAGGAACGGATTGGAGTACCTTTTGATGAGACTTGCTTCAATCATCAGGTATCGCTTCCATTACATTCTTATCAGATGTAGTGTTCCTCCAATTTCTTTTCTGTGTTCATTTCAATTACTTTAGGGTTGTTATAATGCTGGACTTATGTAGTTGATGTTCCAATAAATAGCAGATTGTGTACCAGTATTGTTTACATTTGCGGATATAGTCTATTATTTTGTGTCTGTGCCTCTTACAAAAAATTACAGGTGGACAGATGACCCCCAATTCCTTTCTCTTTCCTTTTACTATCTTTTCCAAAAACTAGTGCTTTATTATATCCTGAATGAATAAGATTATACAGATTCTCAATAGCTCTATCTTACAGTTATCGTGCTTTAATAGTTCACTGGGGATGTCCGTATTGTTAGCTTCTAGAACTCAGAAAATTTAACAAGCTAACATTTTGATACTGATGGTTCTACTACCAGCAAGCTCTCCGTGCTTTGTGGGACTTATCATTTCCCAACGTTAAGCTCAAAGGCTTAATCTCTGATCAGTGGAAGGATATGGGGTGGCAAGGAGTGAACCCAGCTACAGACTTCAGGTAAACTTCTGATTTTCGATATTGGTTTCTTACTAGAGTAATTTGAATGATAAGATGACTTACGCTAAGACGAAATACATATACTGTGAGGAAGAAGAAGGATATCCATGAAAGGGACTTGATTTATTTGGTAAATTTTAGCTTCCTTAAATTTGGACAATGATTAATGTGTCATGCTTCTCGGACTAAAGAATACTTGCGTTTGAAGACTTGGCTTCTTCTGTTCAACTGTTCAACATTGTTCTTGGTCTTTATTAGCAAACATCTCGATGAATGTGTTTGGAAAGATTTCTTCAAAGAAATTGTTTATTCATTTTCCCAAATTTTTGCCAGTACGATACGTTTTCTTGTACAATTTGAGCACACTTAGGAGCTTATTTTTCCTACCTCTGCAACAGAATTATGTTTAGTTGATAAATGGAAGTTTCCTCACCTTGAAAGATGTTCATTAGGTAAAATTTATTATGACAAATCATTGGACCAGGTAAGATCTAGAAATAGTTGACTTGTTTGCTTGCTCTATGAATGTAATCTGGTTTTACGTATTTTCTTTAATCCACATCCTTCTCTTCCTTTGCTTTTTGATGTAATAAACTACTTGATTTTGGCACGGAGTTAGATCCTTATATTTTGCTTGTGAAGCTGTATTCTTATTGTCAGAAAGTATGTTCTCATAAAAAAATTTTTTTTCTTGATCCCAGGGGTTGTGGTTTCATTTCGCTCGAGAATTTATTGTTTTTTGCAAGAACTTATCCGGTATGGTTGCTTGGCTGCTGCTACACAAAGCATTGACTGCTGAGTAGGGATAGTCCTATTGTAGTTTATTGAAATAATGATGAGTTTTTACTAATAATGTATAATTCAAAATGAAGGCTTCTTTTCATAGGTTGCTATTCAAGCAAACTGGAGAACGTGCTAAGTGGGAATACCCATTTGCTGTTGCTGGAATTAATGTATCATTTATGCTGATCCAAATGTTGGATTTATACTCAGGTATGTAAAAGAATACAAATTTAGGCACAACATATTTATACCAAGAGATGAATTTCCTACCTCATATCTCCATCTTTACTTGTCAAATTGCATTTGTCTGCTTGCTCTCCCAGTTACTTGGAAATGCACCCCATTAAAGATTGTTTCAGCTCTAGAGTTTCATTGCCATTTTCTCCAGCAGAAAAACAGAAAGGAACCGTGCGTTTTGACTCTAATTAACCTTTTGTTCAATGCAGCAAAACCTAAGTGCCTTCCAGGAGTCAATTTCATCAAAATGTTGGGAGGTAATTAGTAGCAATGTAAACTATATGAATTTCAATGCTTCATGAATTGGGTTGCTTGATTGAATTTGCACTGTAACTATCTGAAAAAAATTTTAATTTGCACGATTGCAGAAGATAAAGAGGCATTTGATGTACTATATTGTATAGCATTTGCAATGATGGATGCGCAATGGCTTGCAATGCATGCTTCGTATATGGACTTCAATGTATGTATCTCTCTCCTCTCTCTCTCTCTCTCTCTCTCTCTCTCTCAAAATGCCTTGCTCAGCAAAAGCAATTACATTGGAAAACCTGAGACGGCTTTCATATTCCATCCTAATATAACTAATTTGGCAACAAGCTAGACTAACTTTTGCACTTAGGCTTTATAATCTCATTCCCTAAGCTAACAAAATGGTTAAATGGTTCGATTTCAGTTGTATATAGAAATAGTTAAGAGTTAAACAACAAGATTTTTTTGGCATTATTCACTTATTTTTGTTGCTTCTACCTCCCAATTTTGTTCAGATGTATCTATTCACTGCTTTTAGATGTCATTGCACAAGAAATTGTTAAGATGATTTTTATTTTTTTTTTTTACAAATTCAATTCATGATCATACTTCGGTATAAATAACCCTGATGAAGGCTTAGCAGAGTGTGTCATTTTCATTTATTAAGTCTTGAAGAGAATAAAAGAATAGCAAGAATACAAGGCCAAATTGGTTATAGTTGACCTCAATGGCACTAATGGATGCCTTTTTCTCATAACAATTGCCACATTTGAGTGCAATGAGTATTTTCCTTCTGTCTCAAATAGCAGGTAATTTTCAATCTCATGTCTTTTCAGGAAAAATTCTGTTGAATTTGAAATTCCAACTGAGGTGCAAATTATGCTAAACGATGAATTGGCTTCTTGGTTACATATATTGCTTGATCTAGCATTCGCCATTACAGTCTTGGATATTATAAAGCCATTAAGGTGGCTGATATTTGCATTCCTGTTTAAAGGATGATAAAGTTCTAAGGATCGATGTGCATGGTACTACAGTTAAAACCAAGGCTGATCAATCTGTTTGCTTCTGCAGCCTTCACTTACTAATCTTGATTTGGGGTCCAGATATTCCAGAAATAAAACACATGTTTCTGTGTGGAGTAAGACTATTAAATCTATTTCTTTTCTCTGTTTAATCACTTCAGGAGGTTTTACGAGTAACCAGGATACAATTGGAAAGAGAATTGTCTTTAGAAGATGTGCATAAGATACAAGATCTGCCAGCTTTCAACCTATTGTTCCACTAGTTCTTCTGCTTACCACTTTCCTCTTAAACCAACAAATTACTGCTCTATTAGTGTACCGTTAGCTCAGCAAATGGAGGTCCAAAGCAAATGAACCATTCAGGAGGGTAATTTCCACAATGTAGACCATATGTAGAGAAGGGTATTTGTCTTGGATATCTATGTGTAAATTGTACTTATGCCAATTCAGGTGGTTGTATGGAAAAAGTTTTGCTCAGAAGACCATTGCTTATCTTGCACTTCATCTTAGTACTATTTCTGGGGCAGATGCTGCTCAAAGAAATGACTAACCAGAAGCTAATTATGCCTTGCTAATTCGACTCTTCAGTGATTTTCTTTTCATTTGATTCTTATGCCCCTGTTGTCATTTGCTAGTGGTTTTCTTGCATGCATTTTGTGGTACAACGTTAAATGCAGGTTCTACTTGTCAAGTGAGATTACCATTAAAGGATAGAAATTGAGTAGATTAATATGATCTGAAAAATTTTCAAGCTTTTCTAGCCTCAGAAAATTTGCATCTGTATGGGCCCTTGATAAAATTTTGATTTCTCTCAAGTCTTAACGGTGTTTCAATGCATCCATGTATATGTCCACTTCAAGTAAGGCAACATCCAAATCCACAAAGCAAGTGCTATTGTGAAGTGAAAAGGTCAATTCTAACATTGGAACCATAAGTCAGAAGGCGTTTTGACAATCTTGGGGCTTTCATACTTGGAACAATCCCTTTTTTGACACTATAATCTATATATCTCTGATTGATAATTCAATTTAACATTTAAAATTAATGAATTTCAATTTTGACATATTCAAATATGTTTGAAAATCAAAAGTAGAACATCTTAATTAACAAAGTGGCACTGAATTTTTCAAATAAAATTTATTTCAAAGAATAAGTGACAAGACTTAATACAAAATATGCTCAAATGTTAAGATTTTAATACTTAACAATTCAACAAATTAATATATTCAGATTTCAATTTTTAAAATTCAGTTTTATCAAACGCAGCATTCTGAGTCATATCAAGAAAAAATAATGATACCAGTGATTCATAAGACCATGATCGTCCCACTAAGGACAATTAAACAAGTTTGAGCTTCATTAGTAGTCACTATACAATCAAGATAAGACCTCAAAAGTCATGTCCTCATTGCGTGGAGCTCCCTTCATTGATATGACAACTATTAAAAGGTTTATCTTCTGTGACCACAAAAAATGCTGTTATATTACTTATATTATGCCATTGGCTCTCGTGTGAATTGAAAACAGCTCTTCCAAGAAACCGTACTATGGGATTGATGGCAAAAGAAATCATATTGCTCTAATCACAATTAACAGTTGATGCCACTAGTTTTAGCTTAATTAATTGATGTCAACAACAGCTTAAGGACAAGTGGTGTTTGGAACTAATGAGAACGAATAAGTCCTTGTCAACTAAATTGAGTTGTTCCAATCAAGTAGCACTACCATAATGGAGGATGATATGCCCATATAAGAAATGCAAATACTCATTCCCACCAATCTTCTTCGTTGAGATTAAAGCTTCTTTGAGACCCCAATGGATTACACAGTTCTTAAATTTCAAGTTCCTGAATAATTACTACCTTTTTTTGCATCCCCCACTAGAACTGAAACTTTACACCCAGACCTTGCAATATATGCTTGGTGAACATGTCTAAAATTAAGCAATGCATCCTAAAACAACAATTGTGGATGTAATTAGTCTACTGCCAGAAATGAAATGATGCAAAGACTACCTAAAATTGTCACATATGGGCCACTGATAATTAAGTGCCATACAGCGAATCTGCTGAATCTTAGTTGACTAAAACTCCCAAAACCCATGTGTAATGTCCCTGTAGTGTGTGACTAGGTGTAAAGGTTGTTTGCTGGGAATTGCACCAAAGCTTTCAGCACCATAACAGAATGCTACTATTATATTTCTTTTTTTATTAGGTAATGGTTAGTGGTTGCACTTTTTATGATCATTGTGATGCTGTTTTGTATTGGAAATTCAGTTGAGTCATATTACTACAACTCTGATTTGGTATAGACAGATTCAGAAATGAAGTGGGATTTTTATGTTTGGTAGCAATGAGAAAAGGTCAAAAATCAGATTTGCTTCAAGTCAATGGAGGTGGGGTTTACCCAATGAATCATATGCAAGTTTTTATATTGTGGACCATGTCAGTGATTCATTGGTTATGAAAGTTAGAGAAGTATTACAAAAGAATTGATCAGATTAGACCAAGATCCAACTCATTGGCTTTCTTGAAATCAAAGTAAGTACTGGAGTTATGGGGCATTACAGCAGTTGGAGAAAGTTGAGGGCTCCTCATGAATTTATTTTATGTAACTGTTTGATGTTATAGAACTGAAAACACTTCTGAAATTGTTAATTTACCAACTGGGACTGAACCAATTTGTGTCTGGGTAAAAACCAATTGAAAAACTTGTCTAAATTAATAATAGTCATAGAAAATTGGTCAGGAACAAACAAAATTTAATAACAAATTATCAACCAGAGTCACAGTAAATCTTTTTTCACTGGTACTATAAATTTGAACTTGGAGCAAAATTACCAGAATATGCAGGTTATTATTCAAGTTATATGGCAATGATGCAAGTGAATTCTTTTCTTCTTGTTCTGGACTTTGCTAGATGGATTTCTTTACAGCCCTGATGGCATATTTAGAGAAAAATACTTTCCATTGTACACGTACACTTAAATTTACACTGCCAAGTTATTCTTATCAAAGACTTAAAAAAAAAAAGAAAAGAAGAAGATATCCTAGCTAATCCAGTTGTCCAAAGGAAAGAAAATATTGGGTCACAAAGGATGACTCCTCTAACACTTCAAGTCTTGACTTTGATGGTTTCTTTAAAGAAACATTTTGTCCACATATGGCGTTTTCAACTCAGAATAACTTCTGCTTCTATCACAAGACGATTAATGCACCTCTAACTTTAGCAAACTTTAGCTCCATCCTTTGAGGGTTTGATGGAAAATATTCATGCCAGCATTCATATTAGCAAACTTTGGCAACTGCTCTCCTCTTTTTCTGACTTTAGCATTCATATTCATGCACCTTTAGCAGGCAGATTCATACGCTTGTTGAATGAGACTTGTTGCTTAATCCGATGAGACATCACCATGTGATCAGGACTCTATAATAATCTTTAACCATAAATCCTTAATGTATAGCTAACTCTCTGTCCATGGCCACAAGAGCTGCATTAAGTCGTTTTGTAACTAACCACAATTCGTCAATGCTTTAGTGCATTAAAATGTTTTTAAAATAATAATAATGCGGGGTACATATGCAAAAACTCGACAAAGATGAAAGATTTAGCAGTAATATGTGATCAATGAAAGTCATTGATTCCACCAGATTTGGGTGTATGATATATTTGTTCTCTTCTAACGGCAGAAGATTATTTTAAGGTAACTTAACATTTGTTCATATAAATCCTTGCAGGATTAGAATAAGCTTCAGCCAAGATCACTCCAGAAGAATTTTCATCAAAGGATTTAGAGGGTTACTGAGTCCATCTAAATTACACGATGATGAACACTTCATGTATATCAAATCATTATAGTATATTTTTATATAAAAAACTTCAAAAAAAAAATAGCAATCCAAACGGGCTAGAGAACCAAGACCACATAGAGTTGCTCAGAGTATTTCTGGTGGTCAATTGAACAAAATGAATATTTTGGCAGCCTTCAGCGAGCAATGCTCAGTCCAGTTACCCAGTTTATTCCATCTTTTTGAACTATTATTTTGTCAACAACAAGGTAGAATCAGATGCAGGAAACCAAAATGTTGGATCAGAGCCCATTAATTTACTGAATGTGTTGAATTGGTGTTTGCTCTTTATGAATCCTTAGGTTACTTTTCTTTGCTTTTATGAATCCTGGAATGTCAAGTCGGATGCATCAGATTAGTTTAACAATAATGTGTTTGAAGGACAAATGAGACAAATTTGTTAGTTAATTATTAGTGAATTGAAAACAGTTCTAATACCAATTATCTGTTCTCGAGCCCCGTGAAACCGTTAAGGATAAAGATAGTACTAATGAGGCTAACTAACAATCAGTGCTTTGATGGATATCAGGAGGTATCATAAAGAAATAAAAAGTGGTAGCATTATAAAGAATTTGATTAAGAGCACTCATCAACAATTTTTAAAGATGGTGTAGTAGAAAGTACAAAGGGATAATATCAGAAACCTCCCCAAGGTTTCTCTTATTATCACCTAACACTTTTAAGGTTTTAAAAATATCACTTATCCTTTTTATTTTTGTCATTTGTGTAATAAAATTCTTAAAAATCCTAAATTACTCTTTTCTTTATTTTGCTAAATAAAAATACTCATAAGCCAGTTTGTTTACTCCTAGAAAAACCACCACTTAAAAAACAACATCTAGTAATACCACTATATCACAAGGTTATACTCCATAAAAATATAAATTAAAAAATAAAAAAGATATTTGCAAAGAAGTACGTTAGCACCAATTTAATTCTATATGCTCAAAATCAATTTTTTATGAATCTTATATTTTTTTTCCCCCAACTACTTGTCAACTCGTGGTCCAAGCCTTAAGTTGTACTAATCATTATAAAAATCAATTCACAATAAACAAAGAAATCATATACCATTCTATCACAATCACAAAAAGCAAATTATAAACAAAATTTAATTTACTATTATTTACAAATAAAAAATCACATAGCCATCCGAAAAAATGAGTAAGAAAGGATGTTGGAGAAAAGGAGAAAGAGAAGAAAGTGACTTTTAAACCTATTTGAATTGCTATTTTTAAGAGTTTTTGTAGAAAAATATATCTCAACAATTTGATGTATATGAGGTAAACAGGTGATTAGAAAATATGTTCATGAAAAACGTAAAAATTTTCCTACAAAAAAATCACAATCCAAAGAAGGCCTTTGTTTTTTTAAAATTTTTTGAACTCTATTTATTTGATATATGAATTATAAATCAAGTGAGGGTTAATATAATTTTTTTTTATAATTATTAAAGGAGGTAAGTGATGTTTCAACATCCCGAGAGTGCTAAGTGGGGATTCTTGTAATATTCTCCCAAGTACGAAATATATGCATAATTATAAAACCATATTGTCACATACGAGGCTGACATAATTATCTGTTGGGGCCTAGAATAGCATTACAAACAAACTGGTGCAAAATTTTCTAAAGTTTGGTCCCACC